CCTCCCCCTCCCCATCACTGCCCTCCACGTTCATGTCCACTCTCTACAATCGTGCCTCCCCCACCCCGTCCCCCTCACTCTGTGCCCACTCGTGCTCCCTGCTTACACAGCTGTGCGTCCCCCCCTTTCTCACACACTCTCCACATTCAGCCAAGGGGTTGGCTGGAGACTGAGGCTGAGGGAAGATGCCATCACATGTCTCTCCTCCACTAAAGAAGCACGTGACCCCACGGGGCCCAGGTGACACAACAGTTACGCTGTGAGCAGTTCCAAGCCACCCAGCGCCACTCAGAAAGACGACAGCATAGGGCAGGCATCCACAGGGCTGTTGTGTCCACAGCACACGGTCACTGTGAGCTGGAATACCAAACAGCCTGGCCACAGCGTGAGGCCCAGGAGCTAACCCGACCTGGAAGCCTGGGAAGCTGAGGCAGCCCCAGCTCTGGACAGTGTCACCATGACTGCAGGGTGCAGGCCACAGCCCAGTGACAATGCCGCCCGCCAAGTGGGTGCGCCCTCCGAGCGGCCCTTCCACTCCACAAGTTTCCTCTGGAGGACGGGCTGTGGGAGAGAGTGGGCGGGGAGGCCACATGTTCAACAACAAACCCCAAAAATTTCGTGCCGCGTTGGCTCTGCCTCCTTCAAGTGTATAAATAACACGCTGCTGTGGCCATCCGAGGAGCGTGAGGAACCCCCTGGAAATAGCTCACTTCAAATAGGAAAATGGTTTGTGTTCACCCAGTACTGGAAGTCAATTTTCAATTGCTTAAAATAGTCATGATATTTTACCAAGGTAATTATCCCCTTAGCTATCAGTAACAATTAAACCCTTAGACAGGAGCTGCCTAATAAAGGGCTCAGAATAAAACTGCACACTGCAGACGCTGTGTACTTAAATGTCAAGCATGCAAACAGGCCTGAAGGCAGGCACTGCAGGGCCAGCTTGCATGCTGCCATCCAGCCGCAGGGGGCCTGGCCCTTCACCAGCTGGGGGACCAGCAGCCACCCCTCTGCAGCGCCTTGAAAAGAGCTACTTCTTAGCTCCTCAGAAGTCTAAAAGGCCACTCAAAAGGCAGGGAGGGTGTGGGTGGCCCTCTAGACTGGACTGTCCAGGGTCACCACTGCGCTGGCTCTGTGCACAAGTGTTCAGGTGAGCAGCTGCTCGTTGATGACATGGCGTACCTCCAGGCTCGCAGGAAGGAGTGGGGGGCGATCTACCACTGAGACACCTCTGAGGGATCAATCCCCCTTCTCCAGCATGCAGCATCGCCCACGAGGCAGCCAGGGCTGGGTCAGGGACAGTGGAAAGGTGTGGCCTGGGGACGAGTGCACTGAAGTTCAAGGACAGAGGTCGCTGGGATAGGAGGGAGCCCAGGTCTAGTGAACAAGAGTCACCCCTCCTCTGGGGTGTTGCTAACTTGCAGGCCTGTCCTGGGGGTTCACAGTCTGCCACATGCCTCTTCCGGGGAGTTGCTGCGGAGTCTGAACCACTGAGCACTCATGAGGACCACCACACTATGCACCACCAGGCTTAGCCATCTCCCTGCAGCCAGTGGTGGCAGCAGGCATGGACAGCCCCTATAAATGCATGGCTTGAGTGGCATGCTTTGTAAAGGACAAAGGTCACACAAGCACTAGAAGATTTTACCAGTCAGCCATCATCTCCCATGTGGGCTGTGGTCACCAGCATCCTGTCCCCCAGACAGTCATAGCCCATGAAGTGGCCTGCCAGGCAGGTGTGGGCCTCCAGGTTTTCAGAGCCAAGCTCAGCGCCCTGTCTTGTCATGGCTTCAGCTCATAGCTCCAGGTACAACTGCTGGGCACTCTGATCCCTGAACCAGTACACACACCACCTGGGGCCAACCTGTGGCTCCCAACAAGAAGTCAACCCCGACCAAGGCTAATCTGTCATCCTGGAGTCAGTGGAGTTGCAGTGGCCCCAAGGGACAGGGCAGAACGCCCCACAGGGTTCCCAAGGCCATCACCTTTCACCCACTGAGCCAAGGGGATGAGGGGTTCAAACTACGGCCTTTCTGCTAGCAAACACTTAACCACTGCGCACCATCAGGGCTCACGGCAGGAGACACAGACGGTCATGAGTGGAAAGAATTGCAGACGTGCCCAGCATGGTCACGTGCTGCCCACTAGCAGGGCTGGAAGCAGTGCCCGTCACAATACACACCCAGATCTTCATGCCCGAGGCCCTTTTCCAAGACAAGTGGTCAGGGGCTGGGTGCCCAGAGTGGATGCCCTTGGGCACGAGGGCGGAGGGGTGTGGTAACCTACAGTGTACAGACCGCACCCGAGGTCAGGGAGGGCTCTGGCTCTGGGAAGCAGCTTCTCCAGCCCCAGCCCTTCTAAACTAAAGGTTCTCCCAGGTAAAGCACGCATCACAGCCCTGGGCTCCCTGTCCCCCAGATCAGGGACACTCACAGCTCTGGTTCCCATCCCTGCAGTACAGGGCATTCTGGGCTCTCCATCCCGAGGTTCGGGAAAGTCACAGTCCTGGGATCCCGTCCCCGAGGTCCAAGGCCTTCACAGCCCTGGGGTCCCCATCCCCGAGGTCCAGAGGAGTCACAGCTCTGGGGACCCCATCCCTGAGGTCCAGGACAGTCAACAGCCCTGGGGTATTCATCTCCAAGGTCCAGCAGAGTCACAGCCATGGGGTCCCCATCCCCGGGGTCCAGCAGAGTCACAGCCGTGGGGTCCCCATCCCTGAGCAGATTCACAGCCCTGGGTCCCGTCCCCGAGGTCCAGCAGATTCACAGCCCTGGGGTCCCCTTCATGAGGTCCAAGACAGTCACAGCCATGGGGTCCCCATCCCCGAGCAGATTCACAGCCATGGAGTCCCCATCCCCGGGGTCCAGCAGAGTCACATCTGTGGGGTCCCCATCCCCGAGCAGATTCACAGCCCTGGGTCCCGTCCCCGAGGTCTGGGACAGTCTCAGTCCTGGACTCCTTCAGAAGCAGCTCAAGGGCAGGAACAGCCCAACACGTACGCTCACCCACACCCTACAAGCATCTAAGGACAGATGTCTAAGCATCCCAGGGCCTTGACCATACTCATATTCTGACCTTTCTGCTTTTAACAAGGCTCTCATGAGACCCACATCCATGCTGCCACAGCTCGCCCTGCCAGACTGACCCCTAAGCTCCGGGCAGAGCCATTACAGAACATGGGCAGTGGGGCACAGCCTGGTGGAGCAGAGACGAAGGCCCACATGGAAGCATGTGACAACCTTCATCTCAGTCCTCAGCTGATGCCCACCCGCTGAGCACTAAGAGGCTGGAGCCCCCCGTCAGGTACATCTCCAGCTCCCATAAGTCCCCAGGTTCATGCATAGCTCCCATGCCTCCATTCCACATGCCCACTTCAGGCATGGGGTGTTGGAGCAGGTCCCACAGAGGGCCCACAGACCCCCGGGCAGTGTGCAGAGACCTGAGCTCAGAGGCACCGCAGGACGAGAGTGCACGGCCTGGCTGCAGCCCCAGAGCTGCACTGACAGACGGCCCATGCCACTGACACACATACACGAGGCTAGCATGCCTGGCTTGCAGGTAGAGGCTCTGATGGGCATGGGGTGCCAGGGAGAGGAGTGCCCTGAGGCAGCAGGGAAAGGGCCTCTGGGAATAGGGTATGTGGTCAGAGAAGTGGACACAGCAGGGTGCGTGGTCAGAGGGGTGGACACTGGGTGATGGGGCAACATCTGCAATGGTCAGAGGAGTGGACACGGGATGAGACGCGGCATCTAAAGCTCCTGGAGTGACCATGGTCACTGCAGAGGACACAGTGATGTCTGAGGCCTCTGCCATGGTCAGAGGAATGGACATGGGGTGACACTTGCGCCCGTACCTTGGTCAGCAGCAGCACACGCTTCTGCAGCCTCCGAGCCAGGGCCTCAGCTGTCTCCCGCCTCCGACGCTCCTCCAGCAGCTGGCTGCCCACCTGGCGGACCTCGTCCTCAAGCTGCTGCCGGGCCTGCTCCAGCCCGCGGGCGCTGCGGCAGAGGGCAGAAGTGAGGCATGCACCCCACCCAGTGAAACTCCCCGCCCTCAACACAGCCCAACAGAGCTCTTCCCAGAGCAGCACCCTACTGTCCCCAAAGCTAGAAGGAACCAGTCCTGTCATATGCAGGGCACAGGGCAGGCTGGCATGTCCTCACACCCAGGACAGCCATCCCTGAATGGGACCCCCTTCCACCCACCCTGGAGGGTGAAACAGCCCTGTCACATGCAGAGCAGAGGACAGAGGTGTATCGCCACCCCTCGCATGGGACCCCCTGTCACCCGTCCTGGAAGGTAACACAGCCTTGACACATGCAAAATGTCACACACACACACTCTCTCTCTCCACAGTGATTGTGCAGTCACTGGGCTTCGAACCTATCCCAGGGTGATCCCAGAACAAGGGTGTGGTGAGGAGGGGGTGGGTGCTCCACACACAAAGAGGAAGATTGTGGGTGAGGCTCTGAATGGGCCCAATCACCAGCCTCCCTGAGTCACTGCAAATGTGCAGGCGGCGGGGGCCAGAGCTCACTGGGGACAGCCAGGGAGGAGGCGCGGGCGGGCTCGCTGAAGTCCCTGCACCCCTGAAAGCTGCCTGCCATCCACGTCAGCTCCTTGTCTTAGAGGACACCCTCCCCCCAACATGTCCACCCATGTTCACCAAAGGACCAGAGCACACCCCATCCCTCACCCCATCCAACCCACCCTGTCCCCCAACTCTACCCATCCCTGTCCCCAGGTTCACCTCATCCCTCACCACACCCCACGGATCCTCAGCTGTCCCTCAGCCTCTCTCGTGCCCCCACTGCACCCTCAGTCCCACACCCGTCTGATGTCACTGGTGGTGGGCACAGCTCACACTGACAGGCTGTGACACTGCACTACAACCAGCAGACTGCAGTTGGGGGCTCAGGGTGGACACCACATAGGTCGGAGGGGAAACTGTACTGCAGTGGACAGACTTTCGGGAGACCCCTCCAAGCCTGCAGTCTGGGAAGCACAGAGCCCTTAACTCTGCATGGGGTCAAATCTGTGGCTTGAGACCCCAACAAGCACCAAGACAGGCAAGCTGCTGACAAGGGAGACCGAGTCAGGGGTGGTGTGCGTGCCCGCTTGTAAAAATCCATGCGCCCACATAACTGGAGGGGAGACTGAGGGTCTCAGGAAAGTTAGCAGGAGGGGACTGTGAAGGGAGACCTCCCCAGGTCAAGAGGAGTGTAAGGCTGTGTCCTCCAGGGGACTTGAACCTCTCACACAGGAGTGGGCGCCTGGCGGTCTAGATTGTGTCACAGCTTGGTGCTGTCTGGGGAGCACTCTCAGTGAAATTTCACCTCGGCACCCCCACTTCCTACTCCTCCACTGAGGACGCTCCCTCCATCCACTCTCAGCCTTTTGTATAAGTCAAAAAAAGCAAGAACTCATGAAAAATTAAACGCAGGCCCCGTGCTAGACTCGAGGATGCTGGCATTTCCACGGACCTCTGGGAGTTCAAAACGACACTTTCATCTCTTGGAGGGAGAGAGGGCATGCGCATCGATCGCATCCCTGGGGGCTCACTCTGCTGGGGAGTGCAGACTCTCTTTAGAGGCTGCCTTTGTGCTGTATCAGCCGTCAGCGCGGGCACAGCTCAGAGAGTCCACTTCTAAGGGACCGTGAAAGGGCATGGTCAGACCCTAGACTGCAGAGACTTATCTGTGACCTTCCTTGGACATGGCGGGGTCCAGCTCACCAGCCACTCATGCAGGCCCAGGCACCCAGCCCCCACACTGCATGTGTGCCAACTGAGACACGGGCATCTGTGCAGATGGGTGACAAAGGGCCCTTAGTGGAAAGGGAGGCCTGTGGGCAAAAGCCCCGAAAGCCTTACCCAAGTCCAGAGAGGACAGCCACTTGGAAGAGGGCTGACAGAGAGCCATCCCCTGCTAAATGCGTGTCCAGTGCCTGGGTCTCAGATGCTGCAGATGCTGTGCAGCGGGCACAGCCACCTGCCTGGGTCAGTGTGTCCTCCTGGGGGCAGACACCACCAGCATTTCACACACCCAAGGTCTTGCAGGGTGATGGGTCTCGGCATGGATTCCTAAGATTAGGAAGAGAGGCTGGGAGGTTGACTTCCAAAAGTCAGGCACCATCATGAGACAAGACCGTCTGCTTCCTGTGCTCAGGGCTTGTGGTCAGAGGCCCTGGAGGAGGGTACGGCATCTGGTGAGCAGGGCCCGTGCCAAACTAGGCGAGTCAAATCAGTGACTTGCCATCTCTCGTCTGTGTGGTGGCACCGGCAGCCACGCCCCTCACTGTCCCACACG